TTTGTAGCTCCTTTTGTTGTTTCATGTTTTGACAATTAATACAACATTTTAAAATACATTGAAATTGATTCGAATTCGATACTCTAAAATAAATATCGATATATCGCGATTTTTTTTTATAGAATTGGGAGTGACAAACGAGCACACAGTCCACCTGATGGCAAGTAGTTGTTGTGGCTCATAGACATCTACATTTATCCTCGATTACGAATCAAATTGCAGATGCGTCACACCTGAGGACTAAGATAGAATGCCTCGTTTCCAGTAAAAAGGGGTCTCCGGTTCTCTACACTCACCATACGAAACACAGCAGCATTAAGCTGCTATTTTACGCTGCTATTCTGTGAGAGCGTGGTCCTTCCCCGGTCGAGCCGACCCATTCTTGATAAAATCTATACTATTAATATAATGAAATGTCGATATTTTTTAGTCGTTAACTAACTTTTTCTTTTAGTCGTTAACTATTTTAAGATTTTTTTTTGTGTTAGAATCACTCCGTATTTGTTGTATGACTGCAGCACGAATGGCTAGACCGGGTAAGGACCACGCTCTTATGGCGAGAAAATTTGAATCTTTTTACTGGTAACGAGGCATTTCATTTATAATTGTCAACAGTCTGATAATCAATTTATAACTATTTTGTTAATTCCCATCACGTATTGGATTCGAATAACCTTTCGCTCACGTTCTGCTCTGTGTTTACAAGGTAATTTACATAACCGCAGATGTCCCAAATAGTTTGTACTAATCGTGCGGTTTGTATGTAATTTTTGTTTGAGTCAGCCGCAATAAAAAATAACCATAACATTGTACTATATGGTTACCATAGCGCATATTTTACGCATTACTACATAGGTTTTGTCCACCTGATGGTAAAGTGGATGCTGTGGCCCATAGACGTCTATATTTAAAAACTGCAGATGCGTTGTCAGTTGTCACCTCTGGGGACTATGACGGATTGCCTCGTTTCTAGTAAAAAGGGTTTCCGGTGCTCTACACTCACCATACGAAACAGTAGCGTTAAGATGATTCATGATGATATTCTGTAAGAGCGTTGTACTACGCAGTTCGAGCCGACCCTTTCGTGATACAACCATAACATAGCTGGTGCGTGGCTCTGCCATGACTAAAACCTACCGCGATGTTATATTTTTAAAGAATACTAGTGATAATATTAACACTCCTTACTACTTAGTACTTACTACTTATTTCGGCTCTATTAAGGCGCTGATTGCCAGGCGATCTTTAGCGCGGTCTTGGTGGCTTACCGGTAAAACTTGGTGGTGGATCACCGCAAAACCGTGGCTTGGGAGATAACGAGCCAGACTCGCGGCTTACCTGCGTTGTATCAAATTTGGCACGTTGCTTCAACAAAACTATTTGTCTCGCCCGTGTATCAGGGTCGAAGAGCCGCGCGTAATGCCGCGGTAACCTTTACCGCAAGGATATGACTCGCCCGTCAACGGCGTCTTTATGTTAATTAATTATTTTTGCAGAAATGCGGTGTGCGCAATATATTCATTCATTCGTTTTTTTTAAATAGAATAAGGGTGACAAGCGAGCACACAGTCCACCTGATGGTAAGTGGATGCTGTGGTCCATCTACATTTATCCTCAATTAAAAATCAAAATGCAAATGTGTCGTCACCCCTGAGGACTGAGATGGAATGCCACGTATCCAGTAAAAAGTGTCTCCGGTTCTCTACACTCACCATACGAAACACGGCAGCATTAAGCTGCTCTTTTACGCTGGTATTCTGTGAGAGCGTGGTCCTTCCGCGTCAAGCTGATTCTAGCTGAGATATTGATGATTCGAGGTGAGCTATTCGTGCTACAATCGTTCATCAATCGTTCATTACAGTTTATCTAAAGTTCACTGCTGAACTAAATAGTTGCCATACTTTGCTCGTGGGTAGTCAATCCCAGTGTTTTTATAGAGTTGTTATCAGGAGGATTCTGTAGCAATCTCCTGTTTCATTTCCGTCTGTAGACTTTTACGACCCCACGGGATGAAGACTTTTTCACGTTAGCTGTGTAAAAGTAGCCCAGGTTAATTGTATTACACATTAACCACCACCAACTTAGTCAGATCTATGGTCAAGCCAAAGAGTATAGTAGGTCAGACCAAAGACAATTTTTTTAAAATGAAGGTAAATATAACTGTGGAGGGTTTTGGTTTCGTTGCCACGCTGGCAGGCGGATTGACAAACTCAGTTTCTTATTATTTTAAGTTGTTATTACGAAAATGCTGCTGCGTATTACCTGTTTCGTGTAGTGTAGTGGCGGTTTAAGACTATCCACTACCCTATATCACCCCGTGGGTGTCGTAAGAAGCGACAGTAGGAAGTCGAAACAGGCGATGGGCAGCAAAGGTATAGAGCGCGCTTTATACCTTGCTTATTTGTACTCTAAGTTCTGAACACTCTTATCCATTATTCTAAGGGGTCCCTTCATCCATCCAGGAAGCCACTTGCATCCATCACTTATTTACACCTAACACTCACAGACTACTTAGTGTGACTCTACCATGTTTATATTCTAACTTCTACGAACGGTTGAGTTCGTATTTCGTAATAACAAGATTCGTAAACAGAAAAAGAAAGTAACGAAATTGTTAAATACTTACTTTATAATATGTAGAAGTATTTTTAAATAAGAATAAAAATATATTTCACATCATCATCATCATCATCATCATCATCATCATCAGATCCCACAAATTCACTTCCGACTATAGGCCTCTCCTAAGGCATGTCACAAAACACGGTTCTGAGTCACCTGCATTTTTTTTTATAGAATAAGGGTGACAATCGAGCACACAGACCACCTGATGCTAAGTGTATGCTGTGGCCCATAGACATCTACATCTATCCTCAAATAAGAATCAAAATGCATATGTGTCGCCACCCCTGACGACTAAGATGGAATGCTACGTATCCAGTAAAGAGGGTCTCCGGTTCTCTACACTCACCATACGAAACACAGCAGCATTAAGCTGCTCTTTTACGCTGGTATTCTGTGAGAGCGTTGTCCTTCCCCGGTCGAGCCGACTCATTCGTGCTACAACCATAATACAGCTGCAACATGGCTCTACCATGTGGTAAAAGCATCCATCGACTTTCTGCATGTCGTACCAGGTCGCCACTCCTAATGAGTGCCGCTCTGCACTCCGCGTAACGGTATGAAGCTGTCACTAGAAAATCTTTTTTCCCGATCGGTTGTCAGTTCTTTAAGTTGTTGTTGGCTTTTGAATTCTATCACGCAGAGAAACTGCGATCTTACTTTTACTACTTTAAGTTCCCTCATACGGCTAGCAGTGAAGGACTTACGACTCAGTTCTTTATGTCATCATTAGTAACACGCACTGGCTGTATATACAAAATTTATATATATGTACTTAGTAAAATACACGGTCGAAAGTTTTTGACATATCATAATATCCACCATATTTTATTTTCTTACTGATTTATAACAGTTTGTTATAACCGCGCAATCATCACAAATATACCGTATAGGATTTACGAGCGAAAATAGCAACGGATACAAACCTATACATGCATATACGAGTTATATAACCATGACATTACTGTGGCTCCGCAGCAGTCGAGTAATTAAAACTTTTAACTATAAAAATTTCTGGTTAGAAATTCTTTTTTGCACGCCTTATAGCCCAAAGCCTTATTAGATAGTGCTTTACTCTCGACACGTCAAAGTCAAGCAATTTTGTGTTCTGAACATGCCACTATCATAACCATATTGCACTTATACGATAATATGAGTAGCCGTATACCAAGAAAACACTTTAATTAATCCATCTTATATTCTCTAAAAAAAATAATTTTATAATGCTGCTTTGATAAAATTTACGTCCGGATATTGATTTTGTATGTGGTCACGATAACTCCCGAAAATATCGACGTATATTGACCGGGTTTGTTTTTATTAGCTTCAGAATTACATCAAGTGGTTCCCTATTTCTTATCGATAGTCTAGTACGCGTAGTTTGTTAATAAAATTATATCAATTTTTATAAATTTTATATTTTGTTGCTATTAAAAATTTAAAGGCGCTTTCATATTCTTTTAGCCCTTGATAGACAAAGGACAAATGTACTATAAAGCCTATATCGATTTTATACTTTTGTGTTATAGATTTATTTTGGTAATTTTTTTTCATCAAAATTAAATAAAACGCTCATGAGGCGTGCACTTTTGGATTTTCCAAACTATTTTTATATTTTTTAACAGTGGTAGAGCTACGCGGCAGCTTTTGCTGTCGCACGAATGGGCCGGCTCGAACCGGGTTGGTACCACGACCTCACAGAAAACCAGCGTGAAGTAGAGGTTTACCTCTGCGTTTCGCTTGGTGAGTGCAGGTGACCGGAGGCCCTTTTTACTGGAAATGAGGCATTCCATCTTAGTCCTCACGGGTGACAACGCATCTACATTTTGATTTGTAATAGAGGATAGATGTAGATGTCTATGGGCCGCAGCAACCACTTACCATCAGGTGGACTGTGTGTTCGTTTGTCACACTTATCCTATAAAAAAAAATATTTTACTCATAAAAAGTATTTACGTGGTAGAGCCATGCTGTAGCTATATTACTGGTATAGTTGTAGCACGAATGGGTCGGCTCGACCGGGGAAGGACCACGCTCTCACAGAATACCAGCGTAAAATAGCAGCATAACGCTGCTGTGTTTCGTATGGTGAGTGTAGAGAACCGGAGACCCTTTTTTACTGGAAACGAGGCATTCCATCTTGGTCCTCACGGGTGACAACGCATCTGCATTTTGATTCGTAAACGAGGATAGATGTAGATGTCTATGGGCCACAGCAACCACTTACCATCAGGTGGACTGTGTGCTCGTTTGTCACCCTAATTCAATAAAAAAAAGTACTTACTATGGTGGTATTGTATTCAGTAGTAATAATCATACAACTAACTTCTTCTTGTGAAGTTGCTATTGCATAAGCATTAAATTGTAATTTTTCGCAGGCAGGCCAGCTGGTGTCAAATCCCGGCAGCACGGAAGCACAGACCATAAGGAGCGACCGCATCACGTGGATCGACGGCAGGGAACCACATTGTTTCTATATTAGACAGTTGATCGCTCAAGTGAGTTTCACCAATTGTTTGTTGGGAAAGTTATCGTAGTCGTAATCAGTAAGTAGTAAGTAGTCGTTAGAAGGCTTAAAGTTTTTAATGATATACATTTTAAATACGAGTATATTAGACTTAATGGAAAATTAATCTTATTTGTAAGATTAATTTTCTGATGAAAAAAGCTAGTGATCGGGGAATAACAAATGTTTTCTTGCTCTTCTGTAATTTTTTGAATTACCTTTTCGGCGTCAACGACGATTTAATATCAAACATGGTAGCGATCACCCCATGCCCAGGGCTTATTAATCATGTACTCTTTAGTAGTCCAATAACGATTTTTAAACAATTTTTGCTTAATAATATTATTTTTTTTTACTTTTTGATTTTTTCAAGCACTTTTTTGCTTATACACGGTCGCTTGAAAGAATTACTGTCTTTTTAATGTCGAGGAGTAACTAGCATGTGCTTGTTTCTAATATTTATGGAATGTTTATCACTAAGTTCAATAAAACTGTTTTTGTTCTTCTGTACTTACATTAAATTTTCGTAAATATACTGAGACGCCAAAGTTAATATATGTAGTTATTTCTTTAATTTTTTCTCTAAAAGACTCCTTTGGACCTAGGTTATAGATTGCTCTTATAGCTCTTATTGCAATATAGTTTTTATTGCTTTTAACATCTAACAAACACTTGTTATTGGTGAACACCTCAACAGAATCTATACATTCGTTGAATAGATTTTTTTTAAATAGGATATGGGTGACAAACGAGCACACAGTCCACCTGCTGGTAAGTAGTTGCTGTGCCCCATAGACATCTACCTCTATTCTTGATTACGAATCAAAATGCAGATGCGTAGTCACTCGTGAGGACTAAGATGGAATGCCTCGTATCCAGTAAAAAGGGTCTCCGGTTCCTACGCTCACCATACGAAACACAGTGACGTTACGCTACTATTTTACCCTGTGAGTGCGTGGTCCTCCCCGGTGGAGCCAACCCATTTGTACTACAACTATACCACTAATATAGCTGCAGCATAGCTGAAATATACTGAGAGGCCTGAGTTGATATATTTATATCTTTATAATTTTCTTATAAGGCACTCCCTCGGATCTAGGTTATAGACTGTATGTGACTCTCCTCTACAATATAGTTTTTGTTGGTCTTACAAACATTTGTGATTGGTGGACACCTCAACAGCATCTTTACATACTATGGCTAGATTACACTGTTTTTTTTTCGTCCCATAACTAAGCATTTATCAGCGAAGCTTTCTATATACTCCTATGTGCTAATGTGATAGGAATGTATAAGAGAAATGACACAATTCTGGATATACAAAATCATTACTCCTTTGAAGAAATCATTTATATATAGGGTTTAAAATATCAGATACGCTATCGTTAATCGAGTGTTATTGTGGATGGTGATAATGTTTTGCATTGATAGCTTGGCTCCAATTGTTGTAATCAGGTACGTGCGTGATCGCTTGTATGCAGGTGAGGCGCTACCGTACATTTATGATTGAGTTACAAGAGGGGCTAGTTTTAGTGTTGCCCAAAATCGGTCTTGGTCTTGCAGCCTTGGTCTTGTTCTTGCATTTTTGCAAGGCCAAGACCAAGAACAAGACCGCCTATTTTTAGCAAGACCAAGACCAAGACTGACCGTGCATGATTTGCGCAAGAACAAGACTAAGCTTGCGAGACTCTTGCGTCTTGCAGTTACTGAGTATCGTTTCAGGGAGTATAAGAGTTCGGGTATACGCTTAGGGACTCTATGAGACGCAAAAAAATATAATAAAAAAATGGAAAATTGGACTTATGCGCATTACGAACAATACCATAAACATACATAGCGAATGAAAATATCCAGTGAAAGAAAAAAAGAGTGCATCTCTAGTTTTGACTAACGGCGTTTTGTTGTCGGCGTCATTAAAGGTCGGATACTAATCTGTCAAAGAAATTGTGCAGCTATTCGAAATTACAAGTTCAAGATACACGTGCCGGTGGCTACTATTGATATCGCATACAATCGTCGCCGCCGCGCCGCACGCACTACATTTGACACTGTTTGATTGCCGCCACAGAGTACATGTTCCAAAGAATAAAATAAGTTTTCGGGTACTCAGATGTAATGCGCCGTCCTACGACAAAACGGACTGATTAGATAATATCAGTTTCAATGTGTGAACGCATTGTACAAATTTCAATCAAACTCGTACCCAGTTTCAGTAACTTTGCGGAAAATCGTATTAACTACGAAAATACAAAATCTAGAGCTACGTAGTTTTCTAGCTTTCTAACATACGCTGGGTATCTTATCTTTGTTAAACGATCTTATTTTTACTAAACGAGCCTCATATAAACCGGACATTTTGAAAATAGCTTGCATTTGATCTTAGAATATAAATAAGCAAGCTACGTTTGATAGATTTGTGAATCATCATCTCGTATATCGTATGCCAGGCCAGGCCAGGTAGAGCCATGCACATCAACATACTTAATCGTCATCGATTCCAGGGTACGAAACGTTAACATTTAGATGGTTTAATGATTAATAAGATCTAATAAATTTACATGTTAATATATAACTACATATTACAAGCGGTACTGTAATCATTTTTACATTTACGCCTACGATTTATCTACGAGTATGTCTTAAGTTTACCGTATAACTTTTTTCCAGGTTGACAACATAATATTGAAAGCAAACAAAATGGCGAACAATGGGAAGTTGGGCGACTACACCATTAACGGAAGAACGAAGGTAAATCGATAATTTATCCATATTTACTTTACTTACTTAATACCGTAATTAAAATACAAACCCACTTTTATAAACCTGAGATTGTTTTGGAAGGTGGGTACCTAAAGCATCCAGAGCTATTTTGATCTTTGATTTTCCTTTCTTTGCTATGGACTCGAACGGTTGTCCTTTTGCCAGTTTCAAGTACTACGTACGTATAAATCATCCTTTATAATAATTTGTTACATTGCGGAATTTCTAGGAGATTTTGACGACAGCTTAAAGCCAGTAGTCGATGACGATAATATGCCAACTTCTCAAGGTACTTAATCGCATTATAATATTATCATAAGGTTTCTATCACCATCGAAACACTTATGTTTCATCATTTCTTCTAATATTTTACACGCGAACACATTTAATACACAAAACCGTACCATTTTCTACCGACTTCAAAAAGGAGACGGTACTCAATTCGACTGTTTTTTTTCTTTTTTTTTTATGTGTGTTACCTCATAACTTTTTTATGGGTAAACCGATTTCGATGATTCTTTTTTATGTGAATGCTAGTGCTTTTCATGTGGTCCCATATACATTTTATCAAAGTCTGACCAATAGTTTATATTAAATTTATATTAAACTCGGTCGGGAAGTTTATATTAAAGTATCTAATGCCTAAAAAATGTTTTGAAGGTTAATCTATATTTGTAAAAACTGTACCTTATACCTAATTTTTTTAATTCTATACGGAAACAGACTATCCAATTTTATACGCACACTTCATTGTGTGATGGTCCAATTGTTTCTAACCTATAATGTTTGAAAATGAAAAATGAAAATGTTTATTTGTCTCAAAACAGTTACATGGATTACAAATGAGACATCCCCAGTAAGTAATTGATAATACTTGTGTTGGGGCTATCTTTCCCTTAATTATTAACAATATTGAGACTATTATACAAAAGGTAAGTAAAAATTAATTTATTAAGAAAAAAATACTACAAACACTACACTATTATTAGCTCTATTTGTAACTGTAGTTTTACGCCTGTGTGGAACCCTAAGTGATGTTTGCTTTAAATGTTTCCAAAGTTGTAGCACTTATTTTTTGCCTTGAAGTTCCTCTGGGTAGATGCCGCCTGCACTGACGTGTTCCATCCTGAAAGATGTAGATATAAGAGAGCCATTCGTGAGGTACGGATGAGCTAGGGAAAACAATATATCGATATATATCGAGTCGATATTTTTAAACAGTATCGATATATCGTCATCATTTGCATGATGTAAGGATAAGGCCCAAAATTTAATATTACCGATAGTTGAACGACGAAAAAAAATTGATACGTATTCTGTACTCTAAAATAAATATCGATATATCGCGATTTAAAATATCGACGATATATATCGATATTTTTATGAGTAGATATCTTTATTTCGATATATCGATATTTTTTCCCAAGCCTATCGCGAGTTCGCGAGGCATTACATCTTAGTCCTCAGACATGACAACGAATCTGTAGCTTTGTTTGTTTGAAGTCGGCTGCATATGCCCATGGACTGCAGTAGCTACCTACGATCAAGTCCTGTAAAGTAAAGTTGCAGCCTATTTACGTCCCACTGCTGGGCACAGGCCTCCACTCATTTCTGAGAGGGTTTTAGGGCAAGAAATTGTCCACCGCGCTGCCCTAATGCGTCTTGGCGAACTTCACATGTCTTCGAAATATTTTCTTCTTATTTCTCAGACATGCAGGTTTCCTCGTGATGTTTTCCTTCACCGCCGAGCACGTGGTAAATCAGCACTTAAAATTGCAATTAATAATTTCATTGGTGCCGACGGGGATCGAACCCGGGTTGCTCGAGTACTGTGAAGCTTACAGCCAGCGCTAACCATCTGAAAATCCTGTAAGTCAGTTTAAATTTGCCACTTCAGTATTGATATTTTTTTTTTTTAGAAAAGTAAAAGAATCGCGATGTAGTGACGGTTTGACCCCATCGTAAAATCCACTGTCCCTCATCCCGTGGATGTCCTAATGGACAACACAGAACAACAAAAATCTATGAGGTCTATGTTTAGCAGTAAACTTTGATGGGCTGTTATGATGATGATAATGTACAAATATTGGGAATAATTAGTTGTTTATTTCTATTTCTTTGATTATTAATGATTTAAAACTAGTCGGTCGGTCTGTTCGGAGAATTTGCTTGTTCTTTTTTCCGTCACACAATATAGGTATTACTTAATGCGTGATGTTAACCACACATCTCTTAAACTTACATTTTTGACAAAATTAGCACAGTACCTACTTATTTAACTAAACAGAAGTCTATTAGTGCACTATGGTTTGTCTTCACACTGATACCCTACCTATATTCCATTTTTAAAATATAGAAAATGAACTGCAAAAGAAGACTGTTTTTTATTTAAAGATTGACAACGTTTCGTTTCTTTTGAAATTGAGTACTTATATTGAAATATTGTATACATAACATCATAGAGCTATTATAAAATTATACGTCATGATGTCGTTCATACATAGATAACACACAATTGACAGATACGCCACAGATACGTCAGAGGCGCCATCTACTAATGTTGAGAGTTTAGAACGCTACTTCAATCGATTGCGTTGCCGAAAAAATTGTTCGTATTGTTTCCGAACGTAACAAAACGCGTTATCTGTCAACCACCACTATCGCACTAAAAATCGCGCGTCTGTGATAAAGCGCCAAATAATACGGGAACACGCATGCGCGAAGGCGACTTTGCGTACGTGACTTTCGGCATGGCGGCGAGAGACGTGCGAGGGGCGGGGGCACTGTAAACATTAGTAAGAAACGTATGTCAAGTCCTACGCAGTTGGACGTCCTTCTGTTTACAATCTACGTCACTATACTTTTCTCTTTGCTTGCATACACATTTGATACTTAAAAAATCTACTTACATCATCATTAAATTACACCTGCATCGACTGCATAAGGTACGTTGGGGTAATATCGGACGGATTTTCGAATAGTTGGAAGAGTCTGCCAAAACCTTTAATTTCTCGACATTCGTATACGTCAGATTTATGGAACATGGAGCAAACCGTTAATCGTTAAACGTAGTTTAGCTCTGAGAATCTTTTGCTTGTGTAAACTCAACGGTTTCTGCTTTAAAGGTGTGCAAAAACTAGACACACTTTTTTATATGCATAATGAAAAATTGGCCATTAAGGGGTAAGACCGGACTTAAATTTAAAACCACTTCTACTGATTAGAGAAAAAAGTTTATAAAAGAGATTTGTCCTATCTTTAACGCTCAAAAACATATTTCAATATGATCTATAAATTACTAGAAACATAAATGTTCCAAACGATTTTCTCTTTTTTTGTTTCTTGCCATCCGATCTTATCCCTGATATAAAGAAATTGTAATTTTATGTTTCTCAAACTTTGTTATGACATAAGATGGAATTATTCAATATAAGAGAAAGATCGGATGCATTTGATTTTATATGGAAAAAAAATAACAGTAAGGACTGGCGAAATGCCCTGGGATAATGAAGGAGTTAAGGAAGATATAAATATTTTAACAAAGCGGCATTTATTATTATAAATTATTTTTTAAATAATTATTATAAATTACATTTTGATTTGTAATAGAGGATAGATATAGATGTCTATGGGCCGCAGCAATCACCTAACATCAGGTGGACTGTGTGCTCCTTTGTCACCCTTATCCTATAAAAAAAATGTATTTTAATGTGTACTTAAAAGTAATAAAACCATCGTATTATTTTATTACTTTTAAATATACAGACTTGCTAACGAGACTGAGTCCCATAGTCACTTGAGTAATCAACGAAAAAATATACACGACCAATGAAAGTTTAACAACCACTGCCATATTTGTAACAGGCAAAGATCGGATAATATTCATCCGATCTTCACTCACGAGGGGAAACATCGGATCTCGGCCTACAGCGATCTTAGCCCTGCATGGACCAGCTTTAATTAGCTATAACTTCATAAAAATTAGTATCCACACAAAATAATAACAAAAGAAGCCATATTCTCGCTAAAAATCGTAAATAAAAGTGATAGGAAAAGATCGGATGGACAAAAATAATACAAAAATTACATTGTTTTATAAAATGCCACGCAGCACAGGTCCCACTTGCCGGAGTGACTGGCGCGAACTGAGGGTCGGGGCAGGATGAAATGGCGTCGTGTAGCATATTGTTGTAACAACAGCTTTTCAAAATATAGCATAATTCGCCGGGAATTTGAATCCTACGGTCTTGCCCCATCACCGACCTTACCCCAACGTACCTTATCTTACCAGGTCGTTACTCCATCTAGTGATGGGCCGCCGTACACTTCGCTTACCGGTTGCAACTGGAGAACCTTTCTTCCCCAACGGTTGTCGGTTCTTCGAGCTATATGGCCGGCCCATTGCTTATTCCGACTTACATAAAACATCCTAATTCGGTCAGTTCTGTGCTTAGCACTTTGGGTATCATATTCATCATCTAGGTATCCATTCAACTGACTTATAAGGCACATGACGACGACGAAATGTTTAGTTCTATAAATTATAAATAGAGTACTATTATGATTGAAATGTAACAAGCGGTAAAATTAAAATTTTGTAGAACCGACTTCAATATAAATAAAATGAGAACATCATCAATGTTGTCGAAATCAATTAAATACACATTATTAAGGATAACTCAAAAACGAGTGGTTAAATCTTGATCAAATTTATATGAAAAGCGAATCATCAATCGTTTCACCTAGAAAAATTCTGAGATACAGATACATATATAAAAAAACGGTCGAATTTATTACCTCCTCTGTTTTTGAAGTCGGTTAAAAATCAATAAGTCGTCTAGTTAGACTAGGTAGCCTAAATATATGCTGCCACCTATACTTGAAGGTGGTGCGATCCATGGTCTTATATTTTTTATAGGATAAGGGTGACAATCGAGCACACAGTCCACCTGATAGTAAGTAGTTCCTGTGGTCCATAGATATCTACA